GAACCATACTTTTTGGGAGCAAGAGCCACGGGTTGGCCACGGCTGCTGTAGTTGAATCTCCAGATATTGAGTGTAAGTTCTACATTCAGTCTTAGGCTCTCAGCACTGTAGCCTGGTTCACATTGGCACTTTACAACACCATAACTTGCTGCACTCAAGGGAGAAGGTGTTTTTTCACACCCCTGAACCAGAAAATTACAGTGCTGTAAAATGCCAGTGTAGACTTGATCTTAGTACAGTAGCAAGCAATATCTCAAACAGGGAAAGAATTTGCAGTAATGTATTTGAGTAACTTAGAAATCCCAGTTGTAGGCAATAATTATGTGCCAAATTTTGTAATTGTTTCTCACTAGAAAAGGACAACTATGACTTGATTAATATACATTTTGATCACCTGTTTATGAAAACGTTAATTTTCTGAACTCTGTTTTCTTTTGTCATAAAAAATGCTGTTTGATCTGTGGAAGGAGGCTGCTAGGATACTGTCAGAATTATTTTTCTTGTGGGTACTACTTTTCTTTGGTTTAAGTCCAATATATTAATTTCTGTATATTTGAGGATAAGATCTCACTCTTGATGCATTTACCACTAAGATTTCTACATGGAGCCTGTCTTATTCTGGTAGTGGGGCTATGTGTATGCAGATATAACAAAGTACTTCGTGTAGTATGATAGCAGTGCAGTTTTATGCTATTTGCAAATACCCAGATCACTATATTCATTTTCTTTCCTTGTAAATCAGAAGAATAAACTGACTCCTAGCCAAACATAAAAATAAATAGAATTGTCTCTACTTTCCACTTGTATTAGACCTTATGTTTAGTGTTTGGTTCCTGTCATTTAGCATTGAGTAGTATAGATTGACTCCCACCTCCAACTGACCCAGGATGTTTCCTGCCATTGCTGCTTGTTAAATGTTCAAATAGGTTATTTTGTGCTTTCTTCCATGCTGCCCCTCATGGTTGGGAGAAGCTCTCCATAAATATCAGCAAGACATGCTCAATATCTTCTATTGAAACTCTTCTTAAAACTCTCTTGTGAGGCCTACAAAAAAAACTTAGTGGGGTCAAAGACCTCCCTATGCTTTATGAAAATTGGCAAATGAATATGCATAACTCAAATATGCTTTAGACAAAATAACTCATGTAACCTATCCATTTTGATATTCCAATTGCTGAATATGTATATCCTATTTTTGAGCATGTATCATTCTTGTATGTGAAGTTATAAAGTGTGGATCTGTTTATAATTGTAAATGTGCTAATGAGAGCCATTGATGCTCTGGTCCTTAATGACTCAGTACTCAGACCAACAACTTGTAAATGGACATGTTTGTCCAGTAAGCTCAAACTGTTGCTGGTCCTAGAAAGACACATGACCATGCCACCTGATTCTGGAATTAATTTAGAACCTGGTATTTTCCCCAAGAGGATGGGGAGTGTGCAACAAAGGGTTCCTCCCTGGGGGAAAGTCTGTTAAGCAATGGGAAGCCATCAATCTTTTTGTCTTCAGCTGGCCTTTTGAAAATGCCTGGTCCACCCTTAGAGGATACCTGTCAACAAAGAACTTAGAAGAAGCTGTAGATCCAAGTCAGAGTAAAAATTGACTCTGACTTGAAGCTTTTACCTGAGATAGAAACATCTCTTTAGGGCATGTAATAAGTTTCTTAGTGGATTAGAGCTAAGCGTTTTTTGTTCATTTTAATTTAGTACTTACTTTGACTGTTTTCACTTGCAACCATTTAAATTCTACTTTTTTATAGTAATAAAAACACTTTTGTTTATTATCAAGTCCAATGTAAATAATTGTTACCTGGAAAGACCTTAGAGAAACCTCATCTGTAAAACTTTTACACAGAGTGACATGGATTTGTTTGGGGTTTTGGTCCATTTTGGGGGTTGGTTTCTTGGGTGCTGAGCCTTAGAACTGAGACCTGCTAGAGCTGAATTAGTTCAGTGTCTGTGGTGTTCTGCTGAGGTGGGGAGGGCAGTAACTCCAACTTTGTGCCTTGTCTGGGGAAGGATGGAGAATCTGACCCAGCAGGACAGGGTGGTGGGGAATCCCAGAGAGCAGGAAGGCAAGGGGTAAGTAGGGATGTGGCAGCAGGAGGGGGGTGAAGGAGAATGTGGTCAGGATGGGAGGGGAAGGGGTTTCACTGAGGGAGATGGGGTGATGCTGGGGGGGGCATCATGGAGCTGAGGGGGGAGTGAGGCTGGAACAGAGAAAATGTGAAGGGGATACAAATTGTACTTGGCAGAAGCTGCACTTTCCTTTACTCCCCACTTCTTTGCCTCCCTTCTCAGCTAGTTATTTGGCTGCATTCTCACCCTTTCACCTTTTCCACTTTACTCCGCCAACCCCCTCCTGCCCCCAAACTCCCTCTCTTAGCCCCACCCCACACCCTCGCCTGCTGCCAAACTCTCTTATAGACCCTGCCCTCCTCACTCCGTACTACATCCCCATCCCACTCACTGGAGGTCCTGTCCTGCACATTGAACCCTTCATTTTTGTTCCCACCCCAGAGACTAAGAGGGGGGGTCCACAAAATCCACTAATTCTGGAACACTGGAGAAGAGTGAATCTGGTCTATGGGACTCCCTGAACCTCAGTCCTCCCTGTCCCTTCCCCTCACCCCATGGGGCTGGAGTGCCAGAAGAGTGGAGTGTCTCAGTTGGGGGGGGGCACATCAGTGAGGGCTGGGGGAGGAGTTTTTTTGCTTCTCACTTGTTTGTTCCCGACTGATTTTTTTTTTTCCCCCTGTGGGTTAGTGGCCCCTGATCCAAAACAGGTTCCCCACTCCTGCTATAAATAAAACATTGAAACCTTTTGTGTTGGACATAATGTTTTACTTTATTTAAAATGAAGTTTGATAAACTAACTTGAGAGAGTTAAAATGCTTAATCTGTTTAATAATTTAAATGAAACCGTTCTCCCTGGCTGCAGCCCTAGCAAAATGGCTCAGGTGTAATTATATAATTAACGGTGAGTTTCCATTAGCAACGGGTAGTCCTTGGAAAGGTTTGGAGAGGGCAGAGCCTCAAGAAAGGGGTGGGGTCTCGGGGAAGGGATGGGGTAGATCCTGGCTTGCCCTCACATTTAAAAAGTGATCTTGGGTGCAAAAAGGTTGGAGACACTGATCTAAAGGCATGTCTACACTGCCCATGGGAATAAGCCTCCCAGCACAAAGACATACTTGTGCTAGCCTCAGCTCAAGTTAGTGCACTAAAAAGAGCACTGTGGCTACTACATCTCCAGTGAAGACTTGGGATAGCTCCGATCCAGAGGTGTGGCTGGGTTTGAGATCCTGACCTATTTTCTGAGTCACAATGTCCCCATTGCTATTTTTAGTGCATTAGGTCAAACAAAACTAACGTGAGTTTGAGTACCCAGGAGGGTTACCCAGCTGTTGTGTAGACATAGCCTTAATGCAGTCCAGTGAATCACTTCAGCCATGGGCTTGATAGCATGAGTTAACAGGTATTCTAACATGATTCCAGTGCGGTGATAAATATGATGTAGCACTTTGGTCTGTCATGTTTAATATCAGCTAGTCATGGCTAATCTGATACTCTATCTAGATTAGGAAAAATAAGTGACATTTTAAAATACTCTGGGAAACAAATTTTGTATAATGTATTTTTGAACACCACTTGTACGTAACGTAAATAGCCTTTAACACCTTGAAATTCATGTTGGTCCCTCTTAATTGTGAGGAAAGTGTTAGAAATGATGAATTGACAGAGCTCCAGAAATATTGGCAAGATCTTCCAGTTTGCAGCAGAAACAATCTCTCTGCCTGATGATGTGTGTTTTGTTTTAAAGGCTAATGTGCCAATAGAAAATATGTTCCATGAATTCTAACCTACCATCCCTTTTCAGAGTCTCTAGGTTTACGCACTAAAGTTTTCCGGAAGATTGAGGAACTGAGGATCAAAGTGGATTCTGTTTCTCTTGGTATTCCTGATGAATTCTTATGCCCAATAACTAGGGAGCTAATGAAGGAACCTGTCATTGCAGCAGGTATGTATGTGAGCTGCTTCAAATTTATTAAAGCAAATTGTTCAGGTGTAAGGATTAGTACTAAGGAACTATTTATTAATTAATGTATAAAAAATGTGAAATGCTTGCATTTTAAATCTCTGGTATCCTTAAAAGTATTCTGATTCCATCAAGGTAAAAATTAAATTTATTCTTCTGATATTGAGATACATAAAAATGTTTAAGTGCCTCTCTTTTGTGCATATGCAAATTGTGTAATTACAAGCCTAATTACACTGTTTTGCACAACTGCAGGATGTACGTACACACAAGCAAACCCGTTAAAAATGGCAATGTCTGTAAAAATAGATATGTGAAGTGTATCATGTCACCAAAAAAGTTCTATGGAACTCAAACCCCAACTACCACCCAAATAGATCTTTGTCTTATCAGACATGCTGCACCTTCCAGTAAACATTTATGGGATGAGGCCCTAATTGCACACATGGTACTCTCACATCTGTTGTCTTTGCAACTGTATCTCAGCCATTATGATATTCAATGATTACATTATTTTTTTTGCACAGGACTCCTGTCTCATAGGGCATGTATGTTTACACTGGGGAGTTATTTCGAAACAAGGCAAGCATCCACACTCTCAAGCCAGTTGTTTTGAAATAATGGGCTTGTTATTTCGAAATAAAGCTTATTCCTCTTCACAAGCAGGAGTTATTCAAAATAGTTATTTGAGGAGCTAGTCTGTAGAACACCTTCTTCATTAGTTGGAAGCTTTGTGTGACTAAAATGGGACTCCAGGAAGAGAGAGAATTTCATGGTCAGGGCTCGATAAATACACTAGCCCGCTCACCTGTGGCAAGTAGATTTTGCCAACTGGCGAGTGCAGGGGCGGACTGGCCCAGTGGGCCGTTGTAACAGGCTGGCCGAAGCCTGCACTATGGGTGGCGCTGCCCCATCCGATCCGCCAGCCGGGCGGAGGAGCAGAGCGCCGCCGGAGAGGGGGGACTGGCGAT